GTTATGTAAATATTCCAACCTCCTTTGTTTTCTCAGCTCTGCATTTTATATATCTAACAATAAATAATCATAATCTCTTGAATTGTCTTCCAAGATGGTGTTATTACTGGGCCACAACTAAGTAATTAAATTTGATTTGTATCTACATTAATTAATTAACCTTAACATTTCCCAGAACAGTGAAGCTAATAATAGATCTTGGAAGCCCAAATTGTGTTTTGTTGTAATTATTTCCACTAAACTGGCATCATTAGAGAATAACCATCATCAGTGGTGCTTCACATGGGTGGATGTCCTCTACCAACCGCAAATCACATCAGTGCATTCTCAATTTATGCTTTCATTAGCTGTTAACATCAGACAGAATCCCCACTGAAAGTTAAGATTACTTGGCATCAGCTTTGACGTTGCCATTGACTGAGGTTTACAAAAGCATATGCTTTTAATTACATCCTTCAAATGGATTTTTTACAGTAAACTTTAAAAAGTTTCATTGGTAATATGTTTTATTAGATATTATAAGTAACAATTATTACTTACCAATACTAATACCTAAATCTACATCTGATCTCAGAAAAGGTCAATATTAAATAATTCCTCATTTATATAAGAATATGAATGAATGCTTACAGACATTATTACATTAAATATTTAAGTGACATCTTTAACACTTAAAAGCAAGGCAAAAGATTAGGAGTTCTTGGCATCCTTACTACACATTAAAATGTTGGTGCTAAGACTCTACTGATCAAGGTATCAAAGCAGAGGCTTAGACTCATAGCCAAACTTTGGGCAAAGAGCATGGAATTTTTTGAAAGAAGAGGGAGATAGAAAGACCTGGAGAGTACAGGAGCTCCAAAAGGAGAGCAACAGAGAACAAAAGAAAAAAGAAAAAACAATGAAACAAACAAACCTGAGCCCTGGGAGCCCTGCAGAGACCGATACCCTAACCAAGGATAATGCATGGAGACAACCTAAAACTCCAGTTCAGGTGTAGCGCATTGACTCAGTATCCAAGTGGGGTCCCCAGTAAGGGGAGCAGGGGCTTTCTCTGCCATGAACTCAGTGACAGGCTCTCTGATCACCTCCCCCTTGGGGGTGCAGCCCTTGCCAGGCTACAGAGGAAGACAATACAACCAGTCCTGATGAGACTTGATAGCCTAGGGTCAAATAGAAGGGGAGAAGGACCTCCCCTATCAATGGACAGGGGGAGGGGCATAGGGGAAGAAGAGGGAGGGAGGGTGGGATTGGGAGGAGAAGAGGGAGGGGGCCACAGCCCGGATACAAATCGAATAAATTGTAATAAATTATAATCATAAAAAATGTTGGTGCTTAGAGGTGAGGAGAGGGCTCAGTAGGCAAAATGTCTGCCGCAAAAGCATGAAGACGTAAGGCTGGATCCCCAGCAGGAGTGCAGAAAGACAGGGGGCGGTAGTGCAGGCACATCTACAGTTCCTGCAGGAAGCCAGACACCACGATCCCTGGAGTTCACTTTCCAGCCAGACTGGCCGGTTGGTGAGAGCTCCAGGTCCAGGCAGACTCTTTCCCAAAAAATAGACTGGAGTGAGACTGAGGAAGACCAGCACAAATATCTGGACTCCACAAGCTTGTGCACACACCTGGGTATGCACCCACATGCACACACACAAAAAGCTGACGCATTCTCAATAAAAGCTACTAATTGTTGGGATGACAACGCTATATTCGACTGAATTATGCGCTCAGATCTATTCTTCATTTGTATAGATATGGTTCTATGTAAAGAAAACATCATTATTGTCATTACTACACTCCATATCTGCATTTAAAACCTTTATTCAGAGAAGTGGTGTTCAAAAGAGCGGATGATGACGACCTCTTTAGTTGTAGAAATCAAACAATCAATAAAACTATACTGCCTCTGTCTCCACCGCTGATCAGATTGTACCCTATTTCAACCATGGTTAATGGACCCTTGAAATTAGATAACCTTTAAGTCTAAGCTTTGCTATGAATCTCTTTATGGTGCCTTGAAAAGAATAATAAATTCCAGCTTTGTGCACAACATTAAACAAGCAAAAACATTTTTCAAAGCACTCAATGAAACTCTCTTGTGTCAACAGCTCCATTGGTGTCGTGTAAGTTTAAAGAAAAGTCCTCTGACAAAACTAGCTGTGTAATCAGGTGAGCTAGAAAGCCACCCTTTACAACAACCAGTTCAATGATGAGAAAATCTCCTTACTTTGGATCTGACATGTGGACCTAGGTTTGGAGAACATCAGATAAGGAAAAGAGATCCATTACAAAGAAAAGACAAGAAAATGATAGTATTTCTAAACTGCTGAGAAGCCAGCACAGATAAATATATTTTACAATTTTTTAAGAAATATTGTGTTTAAGTTCTTGGTGCTTATCTGAAGGCTGAATCTCAATCAGACAAAGAAATGTGTAAAACCAAAAGGCCTACTCAGCACCTGCAAAATCCTGGTAGCAGGAAATGGTACATTCATCCTGGTAGATGAAATTCTACAAAGTCAAGCTGAAACCTTTTTAAGATTAAAATGTTGGGAAGGGCAAAAATAAGCAGGGCTGTATTCTACTTAAAAATAAAACGCTTTTCCATTTCTAAATTTCTCATTTGGTTGTAGAGAATATAGTACAGGAAGAATATTCTGGAAAATCCAGGGGCTGCAGAGAGAGCCGTGCAAGCTTGAGGACCCGAGTGTGATTCCCAGAACTCCGCAAAAACTCAGCCTGGTGATGAGCAGCTGTGATCAGAGCACTGGGGTCATTTGTGCAAATAAGGTAATTTGATGCATTTGATACACTGAAGACAGGTGGATCTTTGGCAAATGTGTGCTGTCCAGCCAGCTGGTCAGGGAGCCAAAGATGAGTGAAAGACGGTCTCAGAAAACTGGTAGAATACATCTAAAGACTGACACCCATGTTTGGCCTCTGTCTGTCACACATATGCATGCACTCACATACAAAAAAACAAAACAAAAAAAAAGTAACAATTCTTATGACGGTTCACCAGTTCCACCAATTCTTACAAATTTTCAAAGGAAACATCGATTTGTAAAAATGGAGCTTGGCAATAGTCCTCCCTTAACAAGAATAAAATCAACTTAATTGCATTGAATGGATGTTTTAAACGAAGTTTGGCAGATGTTATTCCATCAAATCACTGTCAGCCTGAACTTTTCAGACCTTCTTTTGCTTATGCCACCAAATGGATGATTGCTTATCTATGGCTTGATAAAAAACCTCGGGGAATACAGTCAATTAAATAAGCTTAAGTCCGCAAAGTAAGTACGAAGCTGTTATCCTTAAAAGAAAGCATCCTGTGCCAAACAAATGAACAAAACATTCACCACCTTTGACACAGTCAAAGGTTACCTTTGGAGTTCATTACAATCTTCTGTAGGTTATGGACGCTATCTCTAACTGAAGTTATTAAAAAATATAGTGGGGAAAAAGAGCAAGTGACGAAATAAAATAGATGTGTGGCTAATTTGGACAAAATGATTGATAGTCAATGCGAGTCCCTAGAAGTTTTTCTTGAGTGTGTAAGACACTGATTTGCTACTTTAGTCTATTTCCATGAAATACATTTACCAACAAAATGCATCTCAGTAAGTAGGATCTTAATGATGTAAAACAGATCCTAGCGCAAACACTACCCACTAACACACACTTCATGAAGGTGATGAGCACAACCACCCCCTTTCTTTAATTTCAATATGTAATTGACTCCAATGACCATTCATTTCTATTGTACATCATCAGAGAAATCTAAGGACTCCAGAAAGCCCTTCAAGGGAAACCTCCTCCCTCTACACATCCTCCATATTTTTTCTTTCTTTTCTGCATGCTCTGTAGTTGGAATGCCATTCTTGCTGAGCATATATTTGCCATTTGAACAAATTGTTTGCTGCTAGCACAAACTTTAGCCAATTTTAGATTTCATCTCACTGAACATATCTTTCCTTAATTTCCTAAATTAACAATGCTTCAATCAACATTGTTATTCTTTATAAGGTCATTTGGTGCACTAGATATATTACCATGTCCTCTCTTCTGTCTTTCCCTTAATTCTGCTCTCCCTTTTTGACACTGACCCTTACTCTGGGTCGCTGAGCACAAAACCATCTCCTAAGCTAGGCAGGAAACTGTGCTCTTTCACCAACAAGTCTTAATAGAATAATCATTATAATTGGCTACTCAGTGTCACAGCATGGCATCATGACAGGGTAAACCATTTAGTAAGGAGGAGAAAAAGTCACATGTCTGCCACATCTTTGTCTCTGTCCTGCTCCTCATCTATCAGAATTCTTGGTAAAAATCTTTTTTTTTTTTAGTCTCTATTGCATATCACTAGGATAAAAGGTTTGCATGATCATGTAAAATAAAAGGAGAATGCAATTGATGAACCAGGATTGATCGTGTGTCATAATTCAACGTTAGCCTAGAAGTAGACACAATATCACAGAATCTCATAATACACATTATCAAATAAAAGTTACAGTCAATCCTGGTAGGCAGGGCATTCTCAGAGGTGTTTCATTTTTAGGCTTTTCTGAATTTGTATATAGCAATGGAGTTAGTAAGTTTTGTGATATATGCAATGTTTATTTTTGGCATTTATGTATACGCTCATGTAAGTACTCCTTATGATTCAGAACAGAGTGAAACACTTTTTAACTCGTGTAATCGACCAAATGGTTTCACAGATTTATTTTGTTGTGCTCTACAATGTACACAAAGTATGTACAGGGGCAAAAGTAAAAAAAAAAAAATATTAAGATCTTGTGTACTGTGGATATTGAGAAGAAACACCTACGAGAGGCCTGTTGTTTTGAAAGTAATATTACTTAAGAACTATGGTTCCTTGAATTCCAGATCTTAAAAAAGTAGATACATGCATAAAGATATTCACCATCTACACACACACACACACACACACACACACACACACACACACACGCATGCACACACACACACACACACAAGTAACTTACATAATTTCATCGTTCTCGAATTCGAGCTCTCCACACGTGTCCTCAAAGTCCTCCCCTCCACCTCGGGCCGTCCCTTCAATGGTTTTATAGGGAACGACGACGTTTCCTCGAGCACCAGATGTTCTCAAAACCTTCACCTCCATGATGCCAATGCTCTCGCTCACATGAGTCACCGGTTCCTCAAATGTAAAGATACCTGCATGGTCATCATCAAAAATGGTTACGGTGGCAGTGTTGGGTGACCCAAGACAAGCAAGTGCAGAAATATGGTTGGCTTCTAGTATGTCATCTTCCGTGCTGTCTGACGTGATTCTGACATTGCTGAGATGCACAAGGAAGTTTTCGTCTTCTTCAAAGATATCATCATCGATGATGCCAACCTGGATTTCCTTCAGCGTCTCCCCTGGTTTAAAGACCACAGTCCCTTCAGTGAACTCGTAATCAGACCCAGCGTTGGCTGTGCCATCTTCTGTCCTGAAGTCAACAAACAGGGTGTTGTTCAAGTCGCCCCCGCTGCGGACGATGGTGAGAGCCACAGTACCACAGTTCTCTAAACACTGGTATGTCCGGTGTTCAAAGAAGACCTTGCTGACTGGGCCATTTTCAGAAGAGTCCACGTTGACTTCGTGCATGCTGATAGCCTTTCTCGCCTGGTCAGCCGCATGCCTCTTCAGAATGTTGCCAGCTCCAGTCATCAGGCGAGTTGCTTGAATCCGGTAAAATGCTCGGCTTTTTTGCTGCTGACTTAGGACCTGATAGTTAGCTAGTTCTATTAACTGCTCGATTTCTTTTTCTGGATGCTTCTGCTTAAGTTCCTTCAGAATCCTTGCCATCTCACGCCTCGCTTCCTCATCATCTTGGTCCCTCTCATCAACTTCCAAAACCAAAGCACCATCTAGGAAACTGTCAACATGAGAGTTGACCACCTTACCATCCATTTCGATTTCAGTTTTGGACGATTGCCTTTCTCCTTCATGTTCAATAATCATTCCCCTTTGCTTTCCAGCCCTATACCGCTTGTAGACATACTTGTAAAAGAGAAGCCGCCTGTCTGCTACCCAAGCAAACACGACACAGATGGGGAAGAAGAAGAAAGTCAGCAGTCCTTCCCAGACCTCCACAACACCAGGAGAGATGACAGACAGAATGATATAAAGCCAGGTGTAGGCGAAGATGCTCCAGGCCGCTGTCACAAAGAACACACGCAAATGCTTAATCTTCCTTGTCTCGCCATCAGGGACGACATAAACACAGAGTGCGATGATGATGAACATGTTGAAGGCGGCGCTTCCCACGATGGTGCTAGGACCAAGGTCCCCTGCAGTGAAGTTATGGCCACACACTTCAATGACTGACAGGAGAATCTCAGGAGCAGAAGATCCCAGGGCCATCAAGGTCAGGTTCGACACAGTCTCATTCCAGATCCTCACTGTAGTCTTGGTGGTCTCTCCATTGGGTTTCTTTATGGTTATTTCTTTCTCTTGAGATGTGATGACCTCTATAGAAGACATGAACCGGTCGGCAATAATAGAAACTCCAAGAAACATGTAGACCATGGCCACAAAATACACAGTTGCTCTGGCAATTTTATCTCCAAAAGATGGATCTTGGGGTTCCCAAATGGGCAAAATCACCCCTTTCTTACAGTAATATGAGCCAGTACACACGGTTCCATTTCCTTCTGTTTCTGTGTCTGTCTCTGCGGTTATATAGTGAACATGAGAAAACAAGAGAGCCACCAGAGCTACTAGATGACCTCCCATTGAGGCCGGGTGTAACAGACTTAACCGAAGCATATTGTACAATGAGCCTTCCAACAGTCCCAACCTAAAAAGAGAGAGAGGACAAGACATCACATCATTAGAGCCAAAACATCATTACAAATTTAATTGTTTTACTTTTACAAAAACTTTTGTTATGTTTGACCATCATAAAAATCTCTGGGGAATCACTATTCTGAGAATCTACCAGTGACTGAACAGTCTTTTGTAAAATTTACACATCACTCTCTCTGTGGATTTCCTCCATGTGATCCCATTCATTGAGAGAGACACACAGTTGACTCCCTGGAAATGACAAGTCGCCTTGTCATACAGCACAGCTCCACTGAGCACATGTTGGGACATGCTAACCACCAACAACAAATGGGAAGCAAAACTTGGGAAGCATTAAGTAATTGTTTCTTTGTTGTTCAAGTGGATTTTCTTTTACATTTGAGTTAGTACATTAGTGGAAACAATTTCATTGACAAAATCCCCTTTATTTAATAAGATTCCTATCTTGAAACTCAAACTCTGAAAAAAAAAATCCTCCCAATTCAAGGCATGTTGATTACCTTAAATCCTGGAGTACACTGTTATTGTATTTTGTAAAATCACATCCTACTGCTCCAAGCCTGCTGGCAATAAAGCTCAAAACTATCTGTGAGGGAAAATATTTCACTGACAATGCAATATTCCCATATTTTAAGTACAGTTTTTTAAAGCATGTTTTTATCAGGGCACTGCTTGCTCCCTCAGTTTCAGCAAGCTGGGTTTCCTGATAGATTATCAGCTGATCATGTTGCTCTTCAAGCACAGCTCTTCACATCTGGATATGCAAGCTGCTTTGGCAGCTGCAGGCAGTCTGCAACAGGAACAGGAGATAACCAGGCCTGGGCTAAGCCACATGGAAGAGCCAGGAAGGCTATGACATCAGCCATAAAATGTCCTTTTTCAGTGTTGATGTCAGACTTTCCATGATCATTCAAAAATACACACTAGTTCTATAGTGGGCTCAAGTGACCAAAAAATGCAGGAGTGATGATTCCATCCAAATTACCTCATGTAGCATAATAACTGTGGCCACAAACTTCACATATGATGAAGAGCTGTTGGCAGTTAAGGGCATGGCAACAGATTCACTGAGCAACACAAAGAATAGTGAAAGTGAAGTTGTTGACTGAGCCACCAAGGTCCTAAATTCACCCACTAGCTCATGCAAAGGTCAGCTGAAACCTCCTATCACCTCTTTCTCTGGGCCTGGGATTTGGAGTAAATGCAAAAGGAGGTCTATAACACTCATCTGAAATGCCTCAAGGAAGAATCATTCATGGCATCCAGAAAGCATGGGTAAGAGAGAGGTCATAGCCATAACTCTACCACCTGTGGAAAGTTAACCCACAGTCGGGTGTTGCTCCAACCTGCCTGGGAGCCGGGCCACTTTTGCTGGTGTTTTCTGACCCATGTCTGTGCTGTGGCAGGTGCAGAAAAAGCACATCAAGCCCAATAGAATCTCTTGCCCAGCACATAGCAGCAGCAGACCTCTTGGCTCCTACCATAGCAGGGAGTACCTTCTAGCTCATAATTAATGGGAAATTACTTTCACATGTATGTATGTATGTATGCATGCATGTATATGTATATTTTATGTATATATACATATATATATATATTTCTCCCACACTAAAGAAGACAAGGTTATGACAGCTGGACATACATCTAATTTTAAGCAAAAGTATGATAGAAAGATATATATTCTAAGTGTGCAGACATTCTTAGACAAGTCTGTCCATCTGTTTAGTTACTGCAGATCTTGTGTGGCTGGTGAAATCTTTGCCTAAAATGAAGTGACATTCAGCCAGTTCACAAGAGGAGTGAATAATCCAATTCCAACTTGTGGGTCTACTTAGGCTACAAATGTTTATTGTGTTCAGTATTAAATTTGCAATCAGTCCTTCTCTTCTGTCCTGAAGATTCACCAGTGACCAAAACACAAATCTCTGTGTTCATTAACTTCTGTTCTAATGTGGAGGTACCCAATAATAAGTATAAATATTAGATATAAGAATGGGTCATGGTGGGGCAGAGAAGAATCAGTTTAAGGACTGAGACTGTGTATCAAATATGTGCACTAAGGGCATGCGTGATTTTATATTGGTGCTCAAAGATGAGTTAAAATATTTGAGCAAAATCTAAAGGAAAGAAAGAGTTTAACACTTGTAGAAATCTATAAGAGTAGGAGTACAGCCAACTCCTGGCAGTGTGTATCTAGAAAACCACAGAGACACCAGTGTGGTGAAGTGTGGAGGTGCTGGCCTTGACAGGAATGGAAATAGATTCCCTGGTAAGGGGAAGCTGGTCAGGAAGTGCTAGCACATTTTCTTTTCAGAAGCACCTTTCATCTGGATCAGTGACTATGGGATCAGATGCAGAAACAGGGAGACTGTAATAATATCTGCATTTTAAAGGAACTTGCAGTCTGGCAAGTATACAAATTACAGATCAGACAGCTAACATTTAGAAAGGAGAAAGCCTTTGTAGTAATCCCTTCGGAAGATGTTCAGTGCAAAATGTCTTGAGAGCCTAAAAATATAGGAAAGATTAGCTAGAAGATTCAAGACTGTGCCTGTCTCTAAGACTGATACATTAACTGTGCTCTCCAAATTACTGTCAAACCCAGCACTCCACTTTCCATGCTTCAGTCAGTTTGAACTTCTACAAAGCAAAGAAGATATTTTCAACCACCTTAAAATTCCTTATTGGGTTTTTCTTGCCCGTTTCCCTGTAGTCAATGCCTACACACCTGGAGTCTGCTGAAGAACTTTTAAGATATAATCTCTGAACTTCAGGATGTAGTTCTTCCTGTGTGCTGAACAAGACAACACTGGTCTATCTATGAGCTATTACAGACTGTTTTCTGTGCCCTAGACTAACAGTTTTTTTTTTTTTCTGCTGAGCCTCAAATTTTTACAAGCCCAATACCCACTCATAGTCACCTTCCTGAGAGTAAGACAGCCCATTATAAACACGGCTATAGAAGTTATGCTAAGTTCCTTATACGTATCAATTATTTATAATATTTTCAAGAAACAGTTCTGTGTTATACTGTCCTAGAATCAAGCTCTTCATGACAACCCAGACAACTAGTACTCCTGTGGAACTTTTTGGTAATGGGGCAATGACTCTGTGTTGAAATGGAAAAAAAAATGAGGGTTAGACAGGTTAACTTCATACAGAAAGCACAACTATATTTGGAGTCATATAACTAAGAATTAGATAGACTAGGACTTGGTGAGAGTCACATACAGAGTGAATTCTAGAATGACTATTAAACCTCGGTCTGTTTCAGAGAGTAGTGTTATCTTCTCTTTGATAACAGGTGAAGCAATATTTGACAGCTGCTGAATGTCTGCTTGAACTAGCCCTTCAGAAACCCTCTTAGAGCAAGGAGAACTGTGTTAGCCTCAGTCTCCTGGAAGGTTCCCAACAGCCTGGATTTTTTTTTCTTATGGTTTAGACACTGAAGTAGGAAAGCATCAATGACAGCACAAGAGCTGGCATGTTCCTAGAGACAGCTGCCCTGTACGCCCTAGCCTTTAGCAATTGCCTGGCAACCACTTCCTGTGTACACTGTCAGGGCAATCTCAGGTCCGCCAACAAAAAGCTCTGCCCTCCATCTCTGCTGTGGCCCATATCTGACAGTGTTATTACCCAGAAGGCTAACAGATGTAGAAAGGCAGGTGGATGTGTACAAATCCATCACCATGATCAGAGTCAGCATAAAGAGGGGGAGGGGGAAGGGGCTTCTGAGGTGACCTAAAAACATCACAATGATTTTCAAGAGGGGACAGCACAATAATTTGTGAAATCGTTGGCTACAAAACACTGATGTAACTTATTGGCGATGATGCAGCTGGAAGGAACTCTCTGGATTTCAGTTTCTGTCTCCATTAAATTAATACCGAGTCCAAACACTCATTAGGATATGAATAGCTGTTAGATACAAGGCACTTTCTTTCTTGCCCCAACGTCTCCCTTCTTCCAGGGCTTTTTTTCTTCATTATTTAACTAGTTCTCGGTGAACTTCCTTGCACATCCTTACGTATCCTTCTATTAAAATAGAGCAGGGAGATATTCTACAGCCACAGAAAAGCAGATATAAATCTTGTTTCTTTCTAGGCTTTCTTATATTCTTGCTCAATCTACTGAATACAGGGCAAGTGTAGGTTGATGGCGATGGATTCGGGTTAACTCTAGCCAAGGATCACTTAGAAACATTCATTACACCATCCAAATTAGTCAAGAATACCTGGATTATTTTCTATATATTGCCTGTTTTAAATCAAAACAAATAAATAGTATAACATACATGTTACAGAGCTGAATGATAGTGACAGATGAAGGTAAAAAGCCAACCAGGAGTTGGTAAACAAGTCACTTACATAAAAGGAAAGGTTACAGCTGTACGCAGCAGAAACATACATGCAAGGGGTGTGCTCACCAAACTCCCACTCTAAGGAGAAAGAGCCTCCACCACACAGAATGCCTATTCCCTTTGGAGGCTGTAGTCAGTTCTGACTGTCAAAGAGTACCTGACTCAGAGAAAAGGAATATGCTAGATTCCCACCACCTCAGCTCACTAGATGGCCTCATCATATTCTGTTAATTGGCAGTTGGTCTTATTGATATTTCTTTCCTCACTTTCTCCCCCATCCTCTTGATTCTCTTGTCTTTCTCATCCGCAGAACCTCTTTTCCTCTTCTTGTGTGTACTATTGCTTTTCCACCCTTCTACACATCTTTTTTCCTCTCACAGCATTCTTTCTAGTGTCCTAGCCTATCTCCACATTCTCATTCTGAAGTCTGTGCTCTCAACTAGTGCTTCCCTTGACTGCAATCTTTTTCTTTATGCTGCTCAAACTGAGGCATGTCCATAGCTGAACCTTAAAGTTCTGTAAGTTTTACTCTGTGCTGACAATACCCTTGCAGACTGAAATCTTCAGCAATTAGTCTATTTCTAAGGCAACAGTTAAGCATATGTAAACCTGTATCTACAGCCCATGCCAGG